ATCTAGAGCACATCTTATAGCCAACATATACAATAATAGATCAAAAGAGTGTACTACTTTTTTATTATGTGGCCCATCTTTCATTCTCACAAAGTGCCTAGGAGCATGTGCTAGAGTTGGCTCTTCACGAAGAGCCCGCTTACCTTCTCTCTCCTCTTCTTTTTTCTCCAACTAAGCAGAAATATACTAGTTTATTCCTTATAGCCCGCTGACTCAGCTCTATTGTACATTTGTACTTGCTCTAAGCCGCGGCGGCGATCAGAACGCAGTGAGCGTGTGTGTGGCCGCGTGCTGACCGTGTCGGACGCATCAGTTCCGTGGCGTGTGCGTGCGTAGGTATGTGTGTGTGGTGCGTAGGTGTGCGTGTGTGTGCGTGCAGTAGGAGCACCGTAGATGTAGGAAACCGTTGGCGAGCAGGGCGGTGTTGATCACGTCAGGACTAGCGCGGGCTCGGCGCGACCCAGGCGCATCGTGGGCACGGGCAGAGCGGGCCAGGTCGTGGCCTGGCTGGGGAGGGGGGGAGGCGTGCGGGTCGTGCCCAGCGCCAGTCCAGGGTTTTAGAGCACCTGCAGGGCTCGTTGTAACAGCAGGGAGTCGAGTTTGTTGCTCGGGAAAAGGACCGTTCATGCGGTGGCGTTCGTGCGCCAGAAACTCTCGCCGTGTCCCCCGTGTCCTTCTTCCTCCTCCTGTCTTCTTCTTTCTCGTGTCGTTCGAGCATAGCAGCGAGAGCGAGAGAGAGCTAGAGAGGAGCTAGGGCTAGCTAGGTCTCAGTTGTTGCGTAGCCCTGTGGAAAAGGAGAAGGAGAGGAGGAGGGGGACTTTTATCTCAGGGCATGTGTACATCCTGAGATGTTTGTCTAGGTCCTGTACAAACACATATAGTTAGGGCTCCTAATGAGAACATGTATGAGTCCTCGATATGCTGGAGCTCAGGTGGGTGAAACATTTTGAAATAGTTGAGCTCTGTCCAGACATGTCTAGTTGTTCCTAGTCAAAAGTTGTACCAGCCAATCAGCATTCCCGCACACTCCAAGTGAAATTTAAAGCATGGTTACTACTCAACGCTAAGGCTGTCACCATGGCAAAATTTAAGTTATCTTGCAATAAGAAATGTATATCGTTTGGTCCGCGGTTGCTTAATAGTAATTGGCTTCTTGCCGCTGTTGGAATTCCATCTCAGGTCGTGACAAACAGAGAGAAGCCAAAGCAGAGTTCCAATTCAAAGCTAAGGCTGAGTCACGTCGGCATAAATTATCCAAACCGTGTATTTGGTTTACCAACCGCGGTTTGCAGCCCGTCGCTCTTATAGATGCAGCCAATTTTGTGCATTTCTTAACTGGAAATTATGCATGCTGCGCTAGCAGTAAGAAGAATACTACTCCTAGTATGGTGGGAACATGATTGCAGGCAATAACAGAGCATGTCATCTTGTAAAGAGAAATATTGTTTGGTCCGTGATTGGCACAATAATTGGCTTACTCTTGTCGCACTCACCAACTTCTTTTCCTTGTCCTCAAGGTTGAATCATGATGTGTGAATGTAATTTGTTTCCTTCTATTTTCTGTACACTTTACTCGCCTTCCAGCAGATTCGACAACTTCTGTTCCTTGTCAATTTAAAGGCAAATCATTTTAGTCGTTATATGTAGCAGATTCAGGTGTTGGATGCTAGCAGAAGCAAATTCATCCCGCACTGCTATGAACGTGAACAGAGACGCAAGGATGCAAGAAGTTCCAGCAAAAGCAGGGGTACTATAATCGAATCTAACTTACATGAGACTAATCGCATCCTCAACACCTGCATCTGCAACCTCGGCAGGTCACCTGCGAGGAAAAGTTTAGCTCAGAGTAGCAGCACCTGCAAGTTTGCCGAGGACGAGAAGCCAAGTTAACCGGCGAGCAAAGAAGAGATGGTCGACGGAGATGCGCTGGGCGAACATCGCTGGCGGCGCTCCCGCTCCATCTCTCTGTTCTCCCCCTCTGGTCACCCCGCGATGAACAAGATGATATGGGCCTTACCTAAGCCACATAGCGTTGGCGGACCGAATGACCTGGCCCCAAGCTCATTTCAAGACCTTACACTGAAAAGAGTGATCCAGTATGGAGTCTAAATTTGAGCAACAAAAAACATAGAAAATCATACGTCATTAAAAATATACTTTTAAAATTTATTATCAATAAGATATCTAAGACACTATATGTAAACACAAGGAGTATCATACAAAAATTACCACTAAAATTATTTGAAGTACCAGTCTAATAGTACTTTTTAGCGTATAACATTGTTTAAATTGAAGAATATATAAAATAATTAAAGTGGATAAGGTAGGCTGGCTGAGGTAAATTCCCAGTTCACAGTATGATTTCTTCCTGTGTTCTTTTTTCTTTTTGATAAACCATAGAAAATTATATGTCATAAAAATATACTATTAAAATTTATGTATAAATAAGATATGAAAGACTATATTTAAAGACAAGGAGTATCATACAAAAAATACCACTAAAAATTCTTCGAAATACGAGTCTAATAGTACTTTTTAGCATATAAAATTGTTTAAATTAAAAAAATGTAACTTAACAACCCTAAGGCTCAGGGATGAAGTCCATGGAATGAGAGGAAAGCCACATCCCTAGATGAACTCGACAAAAAAAGATGAGAGGAAGTCCAATAAAAAATTGAAAAAAACTTATGAATGTTTTGGAACACACAACTTCCAGGAAAAACAATCGAACACCTTTAAATAAAAGCAAACAAATTTTCAACTATTTTACAAAAAATGAAAGAAAATCGAGAAAAATGTCACACGGTTGCATGGTGAGGTTGAGTACAAATTGTTTGGTGTGGTGCCCGTAATGCTGGCAGTTTCTAGCATGACGACATGTCGGTATCCATAGTACTGACAAAAACATATAGCATGTCATTAGCCACGGCTTCAGTCCCCAATATGCAGCGCAACACAACTGGGAGGCCCTTCCTCACAACACGGCCCATCCCTCATAGAACGATTCCATACGCTCTGCAACAAAGTCCTAGCATAGAGGTGGGCAAGGGGACATGCAACAACATTATGCTGGTGGTAAGCGTGGGAATTGACTAGGGAGATGCACTCGTGTTGTAATGACAGGGACGTGCTGGTAAGGGAAGAGAATAGATTGGGGGTCGATTGGTCATGGAGATGAATCAACAACATATGGAATTGGTAGTTTGAGATCCTTTTTTTCTTACCTATATCTTTTAAAAAATTCAATTTCATACTTATCCATTCAATGGTCGTAGACAAACATTTACACCCTTCTCTAGTCACTCCTATTACGCTTATTTCCTCGTACTATTCTTTAGAATTTTGTTTGCTTTAGCCTATCCCCAACTTGTTTGGGATTGAAAAGTTTTGTTATTGTTGTTTTTGATATATTTTTGGTGATCATGATTCTTACGTGATATTTTTCTGAAAAAAATTGTTTGTTAATGTCTTTGTGCTAGATATGCACTTGTGCATGGGCCAGAAACAACGCACTTGGTCCAGATCGAGGGACAAACAAACTGTTGCTATGTGGTGGAGGCCCAGGTTCACGTTCGTCGCAGAGCAGATCAGGCCGAGGGGCCGGCAGAGCTCTGCCAGCGACGAGGGCGATCGAGGGCGGCTGGCCCCATCTTTCATCTGGGGGTGAGGAATCCGAATCACACTGCCGCCAAGCTTCTCTTGGTTTCGCCGGCATCAGAGGCCTCCCCTCTGTTACGGATCGGACGATCCTCAGACTGAATCTGAAAGATGTTGGTGGCAGCTGAGCTGAACTGATAGGTGTTTGTGTTCATTCGTACACTCAGAGCAGAAGAAGCTCAGCAAAATCTGCTGTCATGTCGTCGTAAGTCAATCATTTGAGATTCATTTTTGGATAGATTGCATACTTTTGCTTTTGTTTCCATATATCCTGTCTACTGCAGTACTGCTTCATGGATTTATATATATACATATATGCAGAAGGATGAATTCTATAAACATTCCAGTTTTCTAAATATTCTGCTAGCCTCAAAGACTTAAATCTCCTAGATTATTGACAAGTAAAGTACAGCAAATAAAAACCAAAAATATTTAAATGAAATGAAGATGGTGTGGTGCAGAAGAGTGTGGTTTTTCTACTCCCAGGGACGTTGCACCCACCATCGGAAACATAGCAAATAAAAACGAAAAAAATCTGAAACTTTGTGCCTTCGATTATGACCAAATGTTTTAGGAGCTTGCAAAACATGATGGAAACATTGCACCCACTTCATTTTATCATGTCTCTTGTTCGTGTACAATTTGACATGTTGCAAAACAAAATATGCTGGAAACATTTTTCATCGGTTCATTTTGTCTGGAACATACATGCACCTGAGGATTCAATGTTGAGACTGGTTTTAACAAAACAGAATGGTGCTTAAACTTTATCAAAGTTGTGAAGTTGAACATGCATATTGGTGAAGAATTTTTTTGATTTCAGGAAGATCAACGTCCAAGCCGTACATAGTCCTAGTGCAGAGATGGATTTTCGTTATGGAGTAGGGCGTTTCGGTGCCCAGGCTCATCTGCACCCGGTTAGAAAAAAATTCGTAAAAGATTCAAAACAAATTCAACAAATTCCAAAAAAAAATTGTGGTAGACAATTTCATGTGTGAGGCCCGCTCCAAATTTCAAGTCATTTGGACATTTGAGCAGCTCTCAGCAAAAAAGACAAATCGGTTCAAAACAGTACCTGAACAGTGAACATTTTTACAGACCCCCAATTTGTCTTTTTGCTGAGAGCTGATCAAACGTCCAAATGACTTGAAATTTGGAGCGGGCCTCACGCATCAAATTGTCTACCCCACAAAAAAATTGAAATGTTTTGAATTTTTCTAGTATTTATTTTGGTTTTTTCCGTAAGCGCAGGTGCAGATAGTGCAGAGATGGATTTTCGTTATGGATATCACCTTCTATTTGATAGAACAGATCAAAAGTTTCTCTTACAATCCTCTGTCTGTCTATTGAGAGAGAGGATGGTGGTCCAATGCAACATAGACAATGGGCAACATCACCTCATCCAGAGCGCCGGCATTTGCCAGGAAGTCTTGAGTGATTTCATCAGACGTGAAGTTCTCGCTCACTCTTATGCCCTGCACAACCAACACATCAACACACTGCATATTTGGCAGTGACTCCTGCTGCGCTCGCAAGGTTAGGGTGATGTAGCACTTAGAACATGGAGCTAAAATCCCTTTGTTTGGCAGTGAGCGGTACTTGTTTACGTTGGTGTTTATACTGAAGGCAACAAAGCTGGCCGCTGCCTTGTTGGTGAGCTGCAGGCAGCACGATATGTCCTTCTTTGGCTGGAAGGGGAAGCGGAGCTCTAGGCAAGGGTCCACCACAATATCTCTTCTCAAATCATTGAAACTTCTGTTCTGATCCACCACTTCCAATTCGTCGGCATGGTGCTTGTGCCTCTTCTTCTACAAAGGCAAAAGTTCAACGTGTTAACTAGCTAGTGTTCAGAAACTATACATTGCTGGATCCACATATATGAGTATGAATATATATTGTACCAGCTGGCCTGTAAGAGGTTTAGGATCTTTCTTTAACATCTCGTCTATCTTTGAGTCTAGTTCCTTGAGCTCACTGATAATGTCCTCTGTAGAAGGTCTATTGTCTCTGTCGTCCTCCACACAACGCATTGCCATATCAACACATTTCGTTACTCCTAGTAGATCGGTTTCGTCCCATCTATAATCTTCAGTTGCCTGCATCTTTTTCCTCCAGTATATTTGTACCTGTCAAGTTGCAACATATATTGTGCATCTACCAATCGCATGAAAAACAGAGATAAGGAACAACAACCCCTTAAAACGTAAAAATGACAAATAAACTATCTTACACTCTCCATAAACTCTTGTTGAATTTTTGGAGAAAAATTCGGGCGACGACGTGCGTCCCAATAATCGCCATAACCCTTTGCCCCCGCCATCATGTGGAAAATTATGACTCCGAGACTGAACACATCATTCTTTGGTGACACCTTGCGATTGTGTATGTATTCTTGTGGCATGAACCCACTGCATGATAACATGTTCAAACATATGTTAACTAAAAGAGTTACAAAACCTTCTAAAATAAGATTTATAAACCAAACTGGGATTATCTACACATGAGCCGGGTACCAACTTACATTGTTCCTTTCATGGTGCTTATTTGGTGGGTATATGAACTCCCAAAGAGCCTGGACAAACCAAAATCTCCTATTTTGGGCACCAATTTGTCATCCAGCAATACATTATCTGGCTTTAAGTCTAGATGAAAAATCTTCTTTTTTTTCTCCTTTATGAAGGTGGTGCAGGCCTTCACAAGTCCCCTTAATTATATTGTATGTCTCCGTCCAATTATGGATACACGAATCAGCTGTAGAAGGGAAAAATATATATGGCATACACATAACATGGCAAAATCATATCTTCATTGCAAGGTAAATGGTAGCATAGCAGAATTGAGGTAGAGTACCATCATACCAGAAATATGCTTGGCAAGGCTTCCTCCCTTCATATACTCAAAGCAGAGAGCTCTGTTTATTACTTGAGACCAAACTAATTGACCTTTGTATTCAACATCTCTATGTGATGTCTCATAGCAGTAACCAATCATCCGTACGACATTTTTATGCCGAACCTTCTTAAGGTTACGGAATTCATTATCAAATGACTCATCATTAACTCCTTGGACGGGAAAAAGCTTCTTGACAGCAATCTCGTCCCCATTAAGCTCTCCCTGTTCATATTGACCATATGATAATTACAGAAAACATAATACGATTAGTTAGTATAACAAACATAAATGATTGACCATACCTACCTTGTAAACTTCCCCATAGCCACCAGTACCAATTTTCATCTTCTCCGAAAACTCCTCTGTGATTGCTTGTAACAAACATAATTTGATATATTGTGGATCGGACGAGGACATTTTATCTGACAAGTACTGCATATTGGATGTTGTTTTTTTTTCCTTTTTTGGAGAACCTGTATTAAGACAATATGTATTTTAGATTTAATTTTCGCCAACTTTAGTCGTGGTCTCTCAAATACTAACAATATTCTCATGGACATCCCTAAAAAAATCACGATGGAAATACTATTTGTGTGCTGGCCCACAAAATAATTGGAATAAAACAATCGTCTCCATTTAACTTGTCAGGAAACCCTTCACCACCCGGTTGGATTTACCTACAATTTTTCAGGCGTAGAACTATATAATACATATGCAGAAGAACTGGGCAACATATTTCTAACCTGTCAAATACTTTCAGCATGAAATCCCTGGCAAACTAGAAGTAGAAGAAACTACTTCCTCCGTCCGGAATTAGTCATGGCTCAAATGGATGTATGTAGCACTAAAATAGAGTGGTAGGTACCATCTGTTTGAGCGGCGAATAATTCCGGAAGCAGCGACTAGCAAGCAAAAGCAGACACAGCTGAACTTACCCGGAGGAAGAGGAAGAGAGACTCTGCAAATGAATCCCTTGCCGTTGGTGGCCAACTTCTTCCGGGGAGTTGATGATCCAAGTCCTCCAATATATCAAAAGGAAGTGCGTGAGGAAATTTTGACTTACCCACGAGGCTTCCAGTTCGTGCGGTCAGGGATGGGACCAGCGGAAGGCTGCGGCTAGAAACTGTTCTAGCAGACTTCGGATGCCTGTTTGGGGGGTGGCGCCGCCGATGCCAGCCTCCGCGCTGCGGCCCGTCAGCACCACCACCTGCCTCGGCGCCGGCTGCTCCGTCCCGGTCCCGGCCGGCCTTAGCAGCAGCGGCAGCAAGGCGTCTTCTGACTTCCAGCTTAACAGTAAAATCATTAGTAATTACAGGAGATCCTAGTTGGCCTTGATGACAAGAAAGATTCCAATCCAAGTCTGTCGACATTGGCATCGATCGTGGTCCGTTGCAACTTGCACATAATTTAAACATCGGGCCACTTGCTATGTCGGCCCGAAACCTTTCAACGCCGAGGGCAGCTGATCAGCCTTATCTTTGAATGGGAACTTGATCACCCTTGTCTTTGGTTCAGAGTGACCCGGTCCAATCATTTCAATATGTTTTTTTTCATTTCACGCTGCTACGGGGACCAAAAGTCGGCCTGAACGATTTTCATTTTCATAAAAAAATTAAGATGCAACACAACGGCTACAACGCTTAGCACCATAAACAAGATTGAGATGCATCACAGGGAATACAACAGATAGCATCTGACGCTCATAAGAAGGAACATGGAACAACAGAAAGCAGATCCAAAAACGAGTTACACAAACAGCCAACATTAAAACTTAGCGTCGTCATCATCGCGGCCAACAAAATCGGCAGTAGGCCTTCAGCCGAAGCCTCGCATCCCGGACCTCGACACCGCATGTTGGACGTCATGTCTAGCAAGCACATGAGTGCCAGCCCTCACTGTCATGACCCCAAGATGGAGAGCACGACAAACTGGGAGGATAGGGTGGATTACCACGATTTAACAGAAATAGGGATGAGAATCAGAGGAATCGGAGTATGGGATGGGATCAGCAAAGCATGAGATGAGAAACTAGACGAACAGGAGGAAGGAGAAGGCGACTGCCTTGGTTCATTTTCTGGTGGATGCCTCCGTTAGGATTACAAGCAGATTACTTATACTACTACTACCAAACCCACACAAAGTTGGTCCATGGCCCATGTCAAAGCCCAGGTCCAGGTTATAAACACGGTGGTGACAGCCCACAGGTGGGGTGTTACACTCTTCCTCCCTTGAAATTCGGCTTGCCCTTAAGCTGATGATGAACATCCTTGAATCGGGAAAGATGCCACACTTGTAAAGCCGAAGAGACAATCCACCCGGCTCATATGGTAGTAGTATGCAGATCTGTTCGCTGAGGCGATCAATGGGACTGATGTGGATATGCATGAGGGTGATGACAGCGCGGGTGCTAAAGGGGCACCGACTGATGAGGCTGGACGAGAGGTGTCCAACGGTTCGGGACCTGTTGCGCAGTTGCCCGGGGACGGGCCCGGGGTAGAGCCGGCACCAGATTCCTCGGTGCCTATGAGTTCTCTGCGGTTTGGGTCGTTTGAGCCAACTTCTGCCCCTCCCAGACTCTGGAGCGACCGGGTGGAATCTGATGATGTGTTTGAGCGCACGCTTCTGGTGTTGGAGTTTGATGCTGCTGATAGGCCCTTCGGTGGAGGATTGGTGAGGACGCCCTCAGCGACGGCCTTGGATGGGGGAGGGGAGGTGGAGCCTCAGGTGGCTTCTCTTTCCCCCGCTCTCCCAGCGGTCGCGTTCCGGGAGATGACGTTTGCTTCGGAGGTTGGGTCTGGGGGAGGGAGTCCGGGGCAGGTGGCCTAAACTTCTTCTCCTTCTATCCTGACGCCGGCGACGCCGACGACGGCTGGCCATGGGGGAGGCGGTCCGGGGCATGTGGCCTCGGTTCCCTCTTCCCCGGTGGCGGCTAGAGAGGCCACATCTCCGGTGGCGCAGGGTGGGGGTCTGGGGCAGGTGGCCTCGATCCCCCCCTTCTCCTTCGGCAGTCAGGACGGTTGCGCCTTCTGGCCTGAGGGTTGGGGCGGGGGGAGTGCTCGGGCAGGCGGCCCCCGCACTTCCCTCTCCTGGCTTACCGACGGCCCAGGGCTTCGGGTTGACGCACTCGTCCGTGGGGCTTGGGAGCCCACCGCCGCCTCCTCCGGTAACTTTGGCTGACCCTTCAGCGCGAGGTATTACTCGGGAGGAGGTCATTGCCTTTGGTGGGATCCCTGACCCAGTTTCTGTGGGGCGACGGATGAGTTCTCGTATCTAGGAGCACCCGGAGGTTGATGACATGTAGCAGAGGTGCGCTATGAGGGTGGCCAAGCTTCGTGACATTGAGGTCACTACTGGTATGTCTGTCAACGTGTCTAATTCTATATTGCATTTTTCTAATGAGGAGATTATTAATAATGCCAACCAATTAGAAGTTTCTCTAGGGAGTAATAATAGTGAAATTTCCAACTCGGTTAATGATCTCCTAGATTTGGAAGCGGAACACGCTTTAGAAACAATTCGAAACATCGCAGCGGTAAAACCCATGAATGATGCAGAGATTGATGCGTTGGGGGTCAGAGTGCTCGATAATCTTTGTGGGGATCTTGCACCATCCACTCCTGAGTCTGAGGAAGAGGATGTAACTCTAGAGGATGCAGTTGCTAGACCCACCGAGCCCGGTTATGAGGACCGGATGGAGGACAAAAGTAAACCCAAACGTAAGTGGAAGCAGAAGATTTATCTCGTTTCTGCGGTTCGTAGGAGTGCTCGGATTCGGACTACCAAAAAATTTCATGATGAAATATGAAAGGAATCTTTTGGAATAGCAGAGGTCTGAAGGACTTGGCTAAAAGAAGGTTTCTTGCTGAGGCGTCTCTTGAGCATAGAATAGATTTTATTGCTCTCTCGGAAAATGGTAGGGCTAATTTTGCGCCCCAGTTTCTCAACACTTTATCGAGCGGTGTCAATTTTGATTGGCATTGCCTTCCTCCGCAAGGAAGATCGGGTGGGATCTTGCTTGGAGTGAATTGCGATTCACTGGAAGTCCGAAGTGTAGTGATGTGTGACTTCGCGGTTAAGTTTCGGGTCAGGTCCAAAGCTGATGGGTTTAACTGGGCTCTGGTGGCGGTTTATGGTGCCGCGCAACCCGAGCTTAAACCGGAGTTTTTGGCGGACCTTGTTCGAATTTGCGGATCCGAGCAGCTCCCAATTT